GGGGGAAAAAAGGCCCGAGGTTGACGTACCCTACCTTAACAAGTAGCCGGCAATGAAACTATCACTTTCAGGGAGGGGAAAAGAGGTGGGAGCTTGACGTACCCTACCTTAACAAGTAGCCGACAATGAAACTATTGTTACTATGTACTCCCTCTCTACTCCTATCTATTGAACTTTTCCCTCACAATGTGTTTCACTGTAAACACCTGGTCCACACACCCCCTACCTTTCCCAAAGCCTCCTTGTTCATCTGCTATCCTATTCTCTGTCTTACACTTAATTCTTTCAATAATAACTCTACCATACACTTTACCAGGTATACTCAACAGACTTATTACCCTATAATTTTTGCACTCTCTTTTGTCCCCTTTGCCTTTATACAGATGAACTATGCACAGTATCATCAGCAAAAAGTAACTGTGTCAATTCCCATTTTGAATTTGATTCCCCATAATTTAATCCCACCCCTCTCCCAAGCACCCTAGCTTTTACTTCTTTTGCACCCCATCTATAAACATATTAAACAACCATGGTGACATTACACATCCCTGTCTAAGACCTACTTTTACCGGGAAGTATTCTCCCTCTCTTTTGCACACCCTAACCTGAGCCTCACTATCCTCATAAAAGCTCTTAACAGCATTTAGTAACTTACCACCTATTCCATATACTTGCAACATCTGCCACATTGCTCCTCTATCCACTCTATCATATGCATCTTTTAAATCCATAAATACAATAAAAACTTCCCAACCTTTATCTAAATACTGTTCACATATATGCTTCAATGTAAACACTTGATCTACACATCCCCTACCCACTCTGAAACCTCCTTGCTCATTCGCAATCCTACATTCTGTTTTACCTCTAATTCTTTCAATAATAACCCTACTGTACACTTTTCCTGGTATACTCAGTAAACTTATTCCTCTATAATTTTTACAATCTCTTTTGTCCCCTTTCCCTTAATATAAAGTGACTATACATGCTCTCTGCCAATCCCTAGGTACCTTCCCCTCTTTCATACATTTATTAAACAAAAGTACCAACCACTCCAACACTATATTCCCCCTGCTTTTAACATTTCTGTCATGATCCCATCAGTTCCAGCTGCTTTACCCCCTTTCATTCTACGTAATGCCTCACATACCTCCCCAACACTTACATTCTGCTCTTCTTCACTCCTAAAAGATGGTATACCTCCCTGGTCACTGCATGAAATTACCGCATCCCTTTCTTCCTCAACATTTAAAAGTTCCTCAAAATATTTTCGAAATCTACCTAATGCCTCCCTCTCCCCATCTACTAACTCCCCTACTCTGTTTTTAACTGACAAATCCATACTTCCCCTAGGCTTTCTTAACTTGTTTAACTAACTTCAAAATTTTTTCTTATTTTCCTTAAAATTTCTTGACAGTGCCTCTTCCACTCTATCATCTGCTCTCCTTTTGCACTCACTCACCACTCTCTTCACCTTTCTTTTACTCTCCGTATACTACTCTGATCTTCTTATAACACTTCTGCTTTGTAAAAACCTCTCATAAGCTACCTTTTTCTCTTTTATCATACCCTTTTCTTCATCATTCCACCAATCACTCCTCTTTCCTCCTGCCCCCACCCTCCTATAACCACAAACTTCTGCCCCACATTCTAATGCTGCCTTTTTAAAACTATTCCAACCCTCTTCAACCCCCCCTCTGCTCATCTTTGCACTAGCCCACCTTTCTGCCAATAGTCGCTTATATCTCACCTGAACTTCCTCCTCTCTTAGTTTATACACTTTCACCTCCCTCTTACTTGCTGTTGCCACCTTCCTCTTTTCCCATCTACCTCTAACTCTAACTGTAGCTACAACAAAATAATGATCAGATATATCAGTTGCCCCTCTATAAACATGTACATCCTGGAGCCTACCCATCGACCTTTTATCCATCAATACATAATCTAACAAACTATGTACTTTCATTACGTGCTACATCATTCCTTGTATATTTATTTATCCTCTTTTTCATAAAATATACATTACTTGTTACCAAATCTCTTTCTACACATAGCTCAATTAAAGGCTCCCCATTTACATTTACCTTTGGCACCCCAAATTTACCTACTACTCCCTCCATAACATTTTTACCCACTTTAGCATTGAAATCCCCTACCACCATTACTCTCACACTTGATTCAAAACTCCCCACGCATTCACTCAACATTTCCCAAAATCTCTCTCTCTCCTCTACACTTCTCTCTTCTCCAGGTGCATACATGCTTACTATAACCCACTTTTCACATCCAATCTTTATTTTACTCCACATAATCCTTGAATTAATGCATTTGTAGTCCCTCTTTTTCTGCCATAGCTTATCCTTCAACATTATTGCTGCTCCTTCTTTAACCCTAACTAACAATCATCTCTTTCTTATCATTTGCACAACATCCACGCACATTCAGACTTCCCACTTTGACAATTTTCTTCTTCTTATTCTTTTTAGTAATGTTTACAGGAAAAGGGGTTACTAGTCCATTGTTCCTGGCATTTTAGTTGACTTTTGCAACATGCATGGCTTACGGAGGAAAGATTCTTATTCCACTTTCTCATGGATATAAAAGGAAAAGTAATAAGACCAAGAACTTTTAAGATAAAATCAAAGAAAACTCAGATGAGTGTGTATAAATAAATGTGTACATGTATGTGTAGTGTGACCTAAGTGTAAGTATAAGTAGCAAGACATACCTGTAATCTTGCATTTTTATGAGACAGAAAAAAGACACCAGCAATCCTACCATCATGAAAAACAATTACAGGCTTACTTGCTTGGCAGGACGGTAGTACCTCCCTGGGTGGTTGCTGTCTACCAACCTACTAACCTCAGTTGTAGAACTTAATTTGTTCCAGATGTCGGTTCAACAACCAAACCAATTTTTCACATAAAAAATAGAGAATTAATCTATTCCAGACCAAAAATGTCAGTATTATAATTTATTAATAATAATGCTGTATACTAACTACTATATAAAACAATGACTCAAGAAATCGTAATGACACGATTGCAAATAAACCATACCCCGGCCGGGATTGAACCCGCGGTCATAGAGTCTCAAAACTCCAGCCCATCGCGTTAGCCACTAGACCAGCTAGCCACAATAGATTCATCCAACTAGGTATATTTCTACACCATAGGAAAGTTAGCACAGGCACCTCTGTGACCACAAATGCAAGTTTTTACAGACGAATCTCCAGCTAGCGTGGCCGTGACGAACTCTAGCTCAAGTCCCTTCACTGCCGTCAACATGACTCAAGTGAAGGGACTTGAGCTAGAGTTCGTCACGGCCACGCTAGCTGGAGATTCGTCTGTAAAAACTTGCATTTGTGGTCACAGAGGTGCCTGTGCTAACTTTCCTATGGTGTAGAAATATACCTAGTTGGATGAATCTTATTGTGGCTAGCTGGTCTAGTGGCTAACGCGACGGTCTGGAGTTTTGAGACTCTATGACCGCGGGTTCAATCCCGGCCGGGGGTATGGTTTGTATAAAACAATGTATAAAATTATACAGTACATGGAAACTGTAAAAATTGAATACTAAATGAAAATCTAACTGAATTACTGTACAGTAAATGAAAATTTAACTGAAATACTTTGCAGTAAGTGAAAATTTAACTGCCTCTTACCTGTCAATGGAGAGCTAATGGCAAAATTCTAGCGGCTTCAAATCTTGAGGGAGAAAGCTGGTAGGCCTACATATGAGAGAATGGGTCTGCATGGTTAGTGTGCACAGTATAATAAAAAATCCTGCAGCACGCAGTGCATAATGAGAAAAAACTCTGACCATGTTTTTGGTTTATAACCGAATTTGCGGTGTATTTTTATATGGTATTTATGGTTGTATTCTCATTTTCTTGGTCTCAGTTGATAGAATGAAAGATATATTGCAGAATTACAGATGATTTTCATTGATTTAAAGACTAAAAGCAGCTTGAAATTGAGCCCAAAGTAGCAGAAATATTTGATTATTGCTAATGTTCATGAATAAACAAATCTTGTCACATGTCCAATACACATCAACTGGTGGGTCTAATATGCATTCACAAATGTGCTGATATTATTTATACAATTATTACAATTATGCATTAATTTTAATAACAGTAAATCTTTTATTTTTTGTGTCAATAGAAATTCAAAATGAAAAGCAAGTATAATATAACAGGTGCCTGGAGACTTGACTAATGAACAGATACAATGTTATTTTAGTGTCAGGAATGTCTACATTGTTTATGCTGGAGCTTATTTTGAAATTGGCCTTTCTTGAATTTTGTGTGAAATTGGCCAAATTAGTAATTTCAGATCACTTTCTTGGGTAGTTTGAAATAAGTAAATGGGCAGTTTCTTGTACCCATTCGATAGAATAAAAGGAGTTCTAGCAAAATAGCTATGAGTTTGATTGACTGGAACAATGGAATTGGCCCAAAATAGGGCTCAAAGTTGGTGAAATTGCCGATCCGTAAATGTTGCTGAGACTGCTAACTTCGCTATAGCGTAATTCTGTAAGTTTTCCATTAAAGTTCATACTTTTGGTTTCATTACCTTTACAAGATACATAGCAAGAGTTCAAGAGATGTTTACTGCACCCGTGTTAGTTACTGTACTGACTGAAACCCACTCTGTGGACTCTGGTGATTACGTGATCCAAGCATTGTTGGCTGACAACCAAGACCACGTATGAAAACAACAACCGAATTCCTTGTTCGAAAACTGATTTGTTTGACAGCTAGTCCGTTCGACAGCTGAGGTTCCACTGTATTTCAAAATTCTCGTCTCTATTCACCACAAGTGCCATTTACGGCCACGTACTCCCCTATTAATCCATTTAAATCGAGTCTCACTAAATTGTAAAACCACAATTGTAAACAAACCGGGAACAGGTGGGGTTTGAGCTCATAACTCACTACCCATGGATTCAAAATCCACCCGTTCTGTGGTTTAACAAATCTAGTGCTTACTATATTCAGGCTGAGAACAGTAGAATTATTCAGATTTCAATGTGTAAAATATTTATCATTATGTTACACTTCAATTTTCAGATGTAGGTGTTCCTATAGGGGTCTGTGACTCCATGGAAGTGGTAACACAAGCTCTTATGACTGATGATCTTTCTTGTGGACTCCAGGAAGCTCTGAAGGCTTTACACAAGTAATTTATTTATAATAGTTTTTTAGTTGACTATTTTTAAGTCAGATTCACTTCCTGCACAAACGTGTCTTATCGTAGGACAATAAGAATCACTTGGTTGAATCTTGTTGCTCAGTGATGATGTAGACTGTGCAAGAGAAGGAGAGAAACTATCATCTATACATGCTCCCTCAGGACCTCTTTAAGCTTAATGTCCAATTGTGGTTGAGCTAAAATGGATGAGACAGGTTTTATTTTCTTAGCTTTCTCTGAAGACTGCTAAAAACTCGCTTTCTTTAGCTGCTTTTTACAGATTTGCAGACACGTGGTACAATTCTAATCTGCCTAGGTACACCATCACCATCTGCCTTTAGAGAGTTCTTGCACTGCACTTACCAACTCCAACAATGAATCCTTTCCTAGATATTGCTTTACTTGTACTTCAGTAACATATCAAACCAGAGATTTATTTCCTACACACCATTCTCTCAAACTGGGCTATGGGGGCATTGACCCCCAAAACCCTCTTCAGTCATCTCCAGGTGTACACAAATGTGCACATACATTCAGTGGCCACTGTTAGGTACACCCTTCTAGTACTGGGTAAGGCCCACTTTCCCCCCCCCCAGAATTCTTCATGGCATGGATTCAGCAGGGTGCTGGAAACATACCTTAGATTCTTGTCTATGTTGACATAATGGCATTGTGCAGTTATTGTGGATTTGGCGGCTGGAAATTCATGCTTCTAAACTCTCATTCTACCACATCCAAATGTGTATACCAAATGCTGACCTTTCCTTCTGCATGTTGCAGCAGAAATTGTGATTTCATCAGACCAGGTGGTGTTTTTCCAATCTTCAGCTGTCCATTTTTGGTGAGCCTTTGCCTACTGTAGCCTCAGTTTCCTGTTTTTAGCTGACAGGAGTAGAACCCAGTGTGGACTTCTTCTGCTGCTGTAGCCCATCCACTTCAAGTTCAATGTGTTTTGTGTTCAGAGATGTTTTACATACACGGAATGCATTGTTATTTTTAAATTACTGTTGCCTTTGTTAGCTTGAACTAGTTTGGCCATTCTCCTCTGACCTCTCATTAGCAATGCATTTTTACTCACAGAACTACTGCTCACTTGGTGTTTTTTTTACATCATTCTCTGTTAGAGGTACTCTGGCACCAACATTTATTCCAGTCACTTGTCACATTTCTTCCCGAATCCAAATGGTTTGAATAACTGAACCTCTTGACCATGTTTGCATGCTTTTAGGCATAGAGGTGCTGCCATGTGATTAGCTGATTGATCAATCATGTCTGCATGCTATCAGTAATGGTGCTGTTGCCACATGATTGGCTACTTGCATTAACAAGCAGGTGTACCTATATGAAGTGGGAACAAGTATACCTAAAAAGTGACCACCAAGTGTAGTTGCACATGTTGAAGAAACTGTTTAACAAAACACATTCAGCCAAAATTTGAAGATGCAGCAATGGTGTTGTCTGCACTTGTAAAAACATATGGACAAGTTAAACAAAAATTAAAAACTGAAATGGTTACCAGTGTTGAAAGATGTTTTTCAAAGAAAAGAAGATAAGAGATGTAACATACATAAGATTATATATATAAAAAAAAAAAGAAACGTCATAGTTCCATGAAACAGGAAGAATATTGAAGATGTTTTTTCAGATTTTTATTAAAAAAAAAAAAAGATTTTTTGGGGGAAACCCTGTTGTATTGATTGTATTTTGGGAACAATTCTTCTGCCCTCTATTCACTACATACTGCCTTCACCATTATTTTACCAGTGTTTCTGCCTTCATTTTCCCTTTAATTTGCAGTGAATAAAAGCATCATTATTTGCCAGTTTCTGTTGTAAATTTGCATCCTTGTTGTGTGTAAACCTTTGTCATCATTAACAGTATAAGACTTGATAATTGAACATTGTATAACATTACTTTGACACCATTTTTTTCCTTCTGTAACAGTCACTAGGTTCTTCTGTGCTTGTTAGCAAATAACTGTGATGAACTTGGCTACTCAAAACTTGAGGCTCTGCATCAGATCAAGCTCCTGAAAGTTGACTCTCACAAGAAGTTAGGAATGGGTTGATGATGCAGGATTAGCCCTGAAGAGGAAGGACTTGCAAGATCATAAGCTGCTTATGCCTGCCTTGCCTGTAAGTTCTGGCTGTTCGTGCAAGGCTTTTTTTTTCACTGCCACCTGTCCTATAAATTCAAATTTCTCAATGTAATTTTTATTTTAGATATTACATTATTGCAACCAGTTATCAGTCCTCATTGTACTGTATATGTTAATGCAAATCACAGTGCTAGAAAACGTGACTTTATAACCCTTGAAACATGAAAATTGCTTCCTTTGGAATAGTAAAAAATATGGACAGCAACAAACTCAATCTTTGTTGTTAGGCAGTGGCTGGGACACTAGCCTCTAAGTTGTCCGCTTAGTTCCTTGTTCTTTACACTTGTGAGGAGATGTCAGGAAGTGACATTACAGATGAGAACAGGCTACTATTTGTTTTACTATGTATGGGGTCTTGCATTACATTATCTTATTGCATTATCAAAGAATTTTAGTTCAAATACTTTGTGTGTAATATAATTGTCTTATGTGTTTAAGTATACATTGTGATTTTGTGATTCTGAAGACAGTTGTCTTGGCAAGAAGCAAGTGATTGATTTATTCATTAATATTCTTGAATAGCTGAGATCTATAAACTGTAATCCCTTTTCTGAACACAAGAGTAGTGCTCTGTGGTAGGCCTACTGGTTATGCTACCAGGAAGCTCCTGCCTATAATTGTTAATTCCAATTTTCTACAACTACTGACAGACCAGTTATTAATTCTGATATAAAAATAAGCACTAATGGAAAAGCATTAGTGGGCACTATAGTAAGCCTACTGTCCCATGCTTGGCAGAACCATCTCACACAACCATTCACACTTGTGCATCTGGCAGATCCATCTCATACATCAATTCACACTCGTGCATCTGTCAAAACTATAGTTTGTTACTTTTGTCTACAATACTCTTGCCAAAATTAAACAATCTAATTTGAATCCATTGCTTGAGCATTAGTTAATAGGTGCTATAGTACTCCTGTATTCTTATTAGATTGAAATACTGTACGTATTTTTTTACTGTTCCTAACCTTGACATAGTGACTCACACATTACCTTACACATTTGCTAGGCTCAACTTAATCAGAGAACATTAGACTTAGAGACTTTCATTTTTGCATGTACCATCATAATACCATCTCCCAATACAGCACTTTAATTCTCAAATATTTTTTCTATTGTCAAACATTCGTGACCGACATGTACACAGTCAAGCTTTAGTAAATTATAAACAGTACATAAAAATATGAACCATTTCTATTTTAGGACTGATAGAGAGACCCAGGCTTATGATAGTCAGTATTTCAGCTTTAAGGTCAGTAAACTTGCTTAAGAATTTTTGATATAAATTCATTTTTGTTTGGTTACATATAGTGATGAAATAATCTACAGAAAGACCCATGTTGTTGGTTTAATGAGTCTGAATTGTTGCTTACTGCTTTTGTTTAAAAGGACAGTGTTTTATGTCATCTTAAGTTGTGTCTTGTTTCCTCAGGTGTGCAGTGACAGTGCAAAAGTTCACCAAGTTCAGTGATAAATCAGAACTGTTGGATCTTGTTTTGCTTTTAAGTAGTTATATCTTCACATTGATATAAGATAAAAAATAAAGATTGAAATTTAAAATACTTGGTTTTCAATGTTTTTCATCTAGGATAAAGATAAAAATAAAACAACGGAAATAAAATTAAGCATTAGTCTGTTATGATTTAAATTATTATCTATAGAATGGTATATGCCAAGTGATACATCTAATGTCGAGACAAAATAAAAGTGAGCATCCAGTTCCTGTGATGAAGGAATTAGTATAGAGCAGTGATGAAAATAATGCAAATGCAGTAAATTCTCAACATGAGACCTGGAACAAAATCCCCTGGGTCAAGCCATTTAGAAACAGACCAAGTCAGTTGATTACAGAACTGTCTAGGAGAGTGCAACGGGAGTGAACTAGCAGCAGCAGCAACACTCATAGCAAGGGGCATTCTTGAGCTTTCCCAGCACTCAGACGTTATATCTGAAGCTGGGTGTGCCTCCACAAGGATCCTGTAGTGCTTGCTGCCTTTACACCTTCTGACATCATCTGCTGCTATGCAGCTGCCACACCCTTCGAGCCCAGTGTGGGCAGGGTTTGTGGCAGCACAAAGTGCCTAGCTTCTCCCTCAGAGCCCTGTTGGGGGCAAGGAATGGGGCTAGGCCTGGGGACAGTTGGTCCCAGAATAAAAGGAGGTACTTGTACCTCATCCCATAGTGGACGTTGGTCTGAGACACTCCAACAAAAAGGAGCCAAGGCCATGCTGTGTGATTCTACAAAGAACTGTCCATTGTTAAAATCTGCAAAACCACCATGATGCTAATACTACCACTACATTTTTTTTTTTGATCAAGTTGGCCATCTCCCACCGAGGCAGGGTGACCCAAAAAAGAAAGAAAATCCCCAAAAAGAAAATTCTTTCATCATCATTCAACACTTTCACCACAATCACACATTATCACTGTTTTTGCGGAGGTGCTCAGAATACAACAGTTTAGAAGCATATACAGTGGACCCTCAACCAGAGATATTAATCCATTCCTGAGAGCTCATCGTTAATCGAAATAATTATTAGTCAAGTTAATTTTCCCCATAAGAAATAATGGAAATCAAATTAATCCGTGCAACACACCCCAAAGTATTTAAAAAAAAATATTTTACCACATGAAATAATAATTTTAATACACACAAACTGAAGAAGACATGCACATTTACATGACACTTTTATTGAAGATCTGGTGATGATTGATGGGATGGGAGGAGGGGAGACCATTGATCTTCTTAGTGTTTAGAAGGGGAATCCCCTTCCATTAGCACTTGAGGTAGCAAGTCTTTTTGTGGGGTTACTTCCCTTGTTCTTTTAATGCCACTAGGACCAGCTTCAGAGTCACTGGACTTCTGTCGCACAACATATCTGTCCATAGATACCTGTACCTCTCGTTCCTTTATGACTTTCCTAAAGTGGTTCACAACATTGTCAGTGTACAGATTGCCAACACAGCTTGCAGTAGCTGTGTCAGGGTGATTTTCATCAAAAAAGGTTTGCACTTCAAGCCACTTCGCACACATTTCCTTAATCTTATAAGCAGGCAACTTCTTGAATTTCCCTCTCCCCTCCTCCAAAACAGTTTCCTCAGGTCTGCCCTCTTGCTGTTCAAGATAATCTAGCAGCTCATCAGTGGTTAGTTCTTCATTGTCCTCCTCCACCAGCTCTTCCACATCCTCCCCACTAACCTGCAACCCCAAGGACTTCCCCAATGCTGCAATGGGTTCCTCAACTGGCATAGGATTCTCAGGGTTAGCCTCAAACCCTTCAAAATCCCTTTTGTCTACACATTCTGGCCACAGTTTTTTCCAAGTAGAGTTCAAGGTCCTCTTAGTCACTTCCTTACAATGTAGCCTTACCTATAATGTTTACACAATTGAGGATGGTAAAATGATCTTTCCAAAACTCTCTTAGAGTCAGTTGAGTTTCTGAGGTCACTACAAAGCACCTTTCAAACATAGCTTTTGTGTACAGTTTCTTGAAGTTGGAAATGACCTGCTGGTCCATGGGCTTCAGGAGAGGAGTGGTATTAGGAGGCGAAAACTTTGCCTTAATGAAGCTCATGTCCCTAGAAAGTTGCTCTGCCAAGTCTGAAGGATGACCAGGAGCATTGTCTAATACCAGGAGGCACTTAAGGTCTAATTTCTTATCAATTAGGTAATTTTTCACATTGGGGGCAAATGCATGGTGTAACCAGTCATAGAAAAAGTCCCTAGTGACCCATGCCTTGCTGTTTACCCTCCACAGCACACACAAATTAGCCTTGAGGACATTGTTTTTCCTGAACGCTCTGGGAGTTTCAGAGTGATACACCAATAAAGGCTTCACTTTGCAATCACCACTAGCATTGGCACACATCATAGGCTTATGTCCTGGGAGTGCCTTTTCCTCCTGAGTAATGTATGTCCTGCTTGGCATGTTCTTTCAAAACAGGCCTGTTTCTTCGCAATTAAACACTTGTTCAGGTTTCAGTCCTTCACTGTCTATGTTCTCCTTGAATTCCTGCACATATTTTTCAGCCACTTTGTGGTCCAAACTGGCAGCCTCACCATGCCTTATCACACATGAATGCCACTACGCTTCTTAAATCTCTCAAACCATCCTTTGCTGGCCTTAAATTCACTCACATCACTAGTTGCTGGCATTTTTTTAATTAAATCATCATGCAACTTCTTAGCCTTTTCACATATGATCGCTTAAGAGATGCTATCCCCTGCTATCTGTTTCTCGTTTATCCACGCCAATAAGAGTCTCTCAACATCTACCACTTGCGACCTTAGTTTCGAAAACATAGTTGCACCTTTGGCAAGAACAGCTTCTTTGATTGCCGTTTTCTTGCCCACAATAGTAGTGATGGTTGATTGGGGTTTATTATACAACCTGACCAGCTCAGAGACACGCACTCCACTTTCATACTTAGTAATGATCTCTTTCTTCATCTCCATAGTAATTCTCACCCTTTTTGCTGTAGGGTTGGCACTAGAAGCTTTCTTGGGGCCCATGGTAACTTATTTTGCAGGTGCAATCACTACAAAGGCTATGATAATATGAAATGTTCCAGTTGTATGTTTGGAAGCAACCATGGAGGCTGGCTGGCTTGTAAACACTGGCACTCATGGGACAAGTGAGGCGCACTCAGGCCTGCTAAAGTGAATGTGTCTCGTATGGAATGAATAGCGCTGGTCGGGTTTTTAAGTGCTAGTCAAGGCAAAATTTTTGCGTTAAAATGTATCTCTAGTCAGATTTATCACTAATTGATGCCATCGCTGGTTGAGGGTCCACTGTACATATAAAGATACACAACATATCCCTACGAACTGCCAACATCCCAAACCCCTCCCCTAAAGTGCAGGCATTGTACTTCCCATTTCCAGGACTCAAGTCCAACTATATGAAAATAACTGGTTTCCCTGAATCCCTTCACTAAATATTACTCTGCTCACACTCCAAGTACCATTCATCTCCTTTCACTCCTATCTAACACACTCAGGCACCCTTGCTGGAAGTCCAAGCCCCTCGCCCACAAAATCTCCTTTACCCTTTCTCTCCAACCCTTTCGAGGACGACCCCTACCCCACCTTCCTTCCCCTATAGATTTATATGCTTTCCATGTCATTCTACTTTGATCCATTCTGTCTAAATGACCAAACCACTTCAACAACCCCTCTTCTGCCCTCTGACTAATACTTTTATTAACTCCACACCTTTTCCTAATTTCCACAATCCGAATTTTCTGCATAATATTTACACCACACATTGCCCTTAGACAGGACATCTCCACTGCCTCCAACCGTCTCCTCGCTGCTGTATTTATCACCCAAGCTTCACACCCATATAAGAGAATTGGTACTACTTTACTTTCATACATTACCTTCTTTGCCTCCATAGATAAATTTTTTGACTGCATATATACCTCAATGCACCACTCACCTTTTTTCCCTCATCAATTCTAGGATTAACCTCATCCTTCATAAATCCATCCACCGACACGTCAACTCCCAAGTATCTGAAAACATTCACTTCTTCCATACTCCTCCTCCCCAATTTGATATCCAATTTTTCTTTATCTAAATAATTTGATACCCTCATCACCTTACTCTTTTCTATGTTCACTTTCAACTTTCTACCTTTACACACATTCCCAAACTCATCCACTAACCTTTGCAATTTTTCTTTAGAATCTCCCATAAGCACAGTATCATCAGCAAAAAGTAACTGTGTCAATTCCCATTTTGAATTTGATTCCCCAAAATTTAATCCCACTCCTCTTCCAAACACCCTAGCATTTACTTCCTTTACAACCCCATCTATAAATATATTAAACAACCATGGTGACATTATACATCCCTGTCTAAGACCTACTTTTACCAGGAAGTAGTCTCCCTCTCTTCTACACACCGTAACCTGAGCCTCACTATCCTCATAAAAGCTCTTAACAGCATTTAGTAACTTACCACCTATTCTATATACTTGCAACGTCTGCCACATTGCTCCTCTATCCACTCTAAATCCATAAATGCAATAAAAACTTCCCTACCTTTTTCTAAATACTGTTCACATATATGCTTCAATGTAAACACTTGATCTACACATCCCCTTCCCACTCTGAAATCTCCTTGCTCATCTGCAATCCAACATTCTGTCTTACCTCTAATTCTTTCAATTATAACCCTACTGTACACTTTTCTTGGTATACTCAGTAAACTTATTTCTCTATAATTTTTACAATCTCTTTTGTCCCCTTTCCCTTTATATGAAGGGACTATACATGCTCTCTGCCAATCCCTAGGTACCTTCCCCTCCTTCATACATTTATTAAACAAAAGTACCAACCACTCCAACACTATATTCCCCCCTGCTTTTAACATTTCTGTCATGATCCCATCAGTTCCAGCTCCTTTACTCCATTTCATTCTACGTAATGCCTCATGTACCTCCCCCACACTTACATTCTGCTCTTCTTCACTCCTAAAAGATGGTATACCTCCCTGACCAGTGCATGAAATTACCGCCTCTCTTTCTTCCTCAACATTTAAAAGTTCCTCAAAA